AGCTTGATCTTTCATCCCCCGACGGCTGTGTGGCTCTTGTTGCCAGGCTCCGGGTGCCCGGGGTGATTCGCTCCTCGCCGCACGTCCTTCTGGAGGAGTTTGTCCAGGGCGAGACCCTCGGCAAGTGGCTTAAAAGCGCCCGCGAAGATCAGGTCAAGGCCGAGACTCCCCGGATCTTCCGCGTGTTGGTGCGTAGTTTCTTCATCGACCTGACGAAAGAGGGCGAGGCGCACGGCGATCCCCATCCCGGCAACGTGATGATCACCGAGTGCTGCGACATCACCATGATCGACTTGGGCTGCCACATCGAGGTTCCGGACGCCAAGAAGGAGCGTTTGCGGTCCTTGTTGCAGTTCACGGGTACGCCCGGAATGGACGAGTCCCAGCTCCAATTGCTGAAGAGCAATCTCCAAGACTTGGGTGCTGAGCAGCGTTCGGGCGCCGAGCTGTCCGGCATGCTCCCATGGCAGTGCGTGGCCAAGTCCTTCGACCTCCAAGAGGCATGCAACGGCTTGAACCTGAAGGAGAACTTCGACCAGACCGTCGGAATCAAGCTGTCAGGTTGGCTGCTGCGCTTGCAGAAGGCCTTCGGTGCTCTGGCAATCTCGCTCCAGGAGCTAAGGGGTCCTAACATGTCCTTATAGACTTATAGATCTGTGGTTACGGCCTTCTGTGGTTTCTCACCCCTACTCATGAGGAGCTATGCAATGCCAATCCGGACATGGAGGTCCAGCCGATCTTTGCAGACATCCTGGCCGAGCTGAGCTCGCCACAGCAGAGGCCATGAGCAGGGGCATGCGCAGGCCATCCGGGCATCCCATTTTCGCCGGGCTGTCGCAGGCACCGCACCCTATCCGCCCCTCCAGAAAGCCAGCCACAGGGCACAGCGTGTCAGCTACGTCTGCAGACCTCGTAAGTGGCCGTTTACCGACAGGGCCAGCAGCAGCCTGCGATCCCGAGCGGCCCCTTCTTCGAAGGGCCCCAGAGTCTTTTTCCACTGGACCTCGCAGCAGCCTGCGATCCCGAGCGGCCCCTTCTTCGAAGGGCCCCAGAGTCTTTTTCCACTGGACCTCGCTTTGAGGGCAGTCTGCGGAGAAAAACACGGCTGCCTCAGTCGTCCGCCCTTTCCCGCCCGCACGTGGCCATGCAAATCAAGGACGGCGATCTGCACATTCCTTGCCAGGTAGGCAAGCCGAACAATGCGCGATGAGCAGGTGCGGGCGCCTCGGCCGTCGGCTTTGTCCCTTTCGCCTCCGAACTCTGAGCTTGAGGGTGCCCTGAAACGGACTCCCTCGAAAGCAGGCGGCTTGCAGAGTTGCATGCGGCCTGCGGATCTCGCAGTTGCGTCTACACACACACTGGACTCGTGGTTGCGTTTTCATTGGGAAGCTTCTCGGTGGAGCCTGTTGGGTTTCATTTCACTGAGACTGCTGAACGCATCCAGCTTTCTAAGGATTCGCAGTGCAGGGCATCGCCCTGGTGGATAGATGAGCTTCTTCCTTTACCAGAGCTGGAGACTGCGGACGTACAGAGCCACAGCTTTGGCAGATTCGTGATGAGGCACAAGGCCTGTTGCTTGAATTGTTGAACTGGGATTATCTGGGGCACGGACTCACGCATATCTACAGCTGGCCACCTCGAAGCAGGATGCGGATGTCGACCACTTGATGGCTCAAATTGTGGAGGCGTCAGTGCAGCACTTGCGGCTTGCTGCAAAAATCGCTCCAGTGCGGATCCGATCATGCTTGCAGTGATCCATCTTTTGACATGTGGGTGCACTGCTTCGGGGTGCCGCTAAATTCGCTTTCTTTAACTTGTCTCTGCGTGAGCAGCGCCAGCTTTGCAGAGGCAGTGCGCAGCCAGCCTCTTTGCAGACGGCACGGAGCACGTCACTGCTGTCAAGGCTCCAGACCGCAAATTCGAAGACAGCAGCAACGACTGCTGACCACTCCTGACATTCGGTAATGTGCCGAGGAGCTGGTAGGTTCACATAGACATAGCCTCGCAAGTGTGCAGTTTGGCTCAACGGTGTTGCCCCGTCACATTGTTGCTGGCCTGGCTTGCTGCCTTTTGCGCAATGCCTTTGGGGTGTGCAGCAGCCGTTGTCGCGGCCATGGCGGCCGTGCTCATGAAAAGCCAGGGAATTGCCAGTGAGAATTGGGGCTGGCTACATTTGCCAGCGGCTGTGTTCCCCAGCCTTCACCAGTTTTTGGAGGACGAGTATGAACCTCTGGTTGAGAAGCACGAAGAAACTTGCCGGACCACGGTTGAGGAAGTCTCTCCCTCGGCCTATGCCAACGGTACGGTTCCGTCCTGGCCCACGGTGTGCAGGACCAGGGTTTTTTGGTGAGGCAGTTCACGGGTGCTGCTCGGGCGGTTATATCAGTGGCTATCACCATCATGTCGTCGTGTTGTAACACTTCTTGGAATGGTAGCCACTAAGGTAGGCCGTCTTAGGCGTACTTCAAGCAGACAGCTCGTTTCCTGAGTTCAATCGCGCAGCAATTTCGCAGGAATTGTGTCTCGAAGGAGGGTGCGAAGTTCAAGGTCCTCCAGCTGTTCGGGAACAAGCGCCAGGATCGCTTTCTGCCCTGTGAGATGGAGGCCAAGCCGGTGCTGGGTGAGATGCCGCCGTGCCTGGACGTGACTCTCAACGAGTCGATCAAGACTCTGAACCGTGACAAGGGGTGGCTAGTTTTTACCCAAAACCTCCGTGGGGATGCAGGCATCGAGGAGGCCAACTTGTCGAGGAGCCTCGGAGCAGCGCCCGAGCTGCTGAAGCTCGATGAGATAAGCGCCAGCCCAGCAGTTCTGGCTTTGAGCGTCGGGAACACTACTCCCGTGGAAGACTTCCACAGCCACTTCGACTTCTTCATGTTCTTTAACCTTGCGGGCACGAAGCTGTTTCAGCTACTGCCACCCTTCTTCATGGGACGGGCGCAAGTGGCTTGGAGCGGCCTCTCCTTCGTCTCGCAGAAGTGCCGGGGCCTCGGTGTGCCCCAAGCTTGGCGTTTGTGCGGAAGGGCTCCGGCTGCGTGCTCAACCCAGGCCCCAAGACGAGCTGCATCATCGAGGTGGTGCTGCAGCCCGGTGATGTACTCGTCGTGGACAGCTGGTGGTTGCACCGCACGGTCCCAATTCCGAGTGGCACCCCGGACCCTGCTAGCCACATGGGCTACGGCCGGCATCTGGCCAAAAGAACAAGCCTTGCGGGGCAGCTTGACAACATGGCACAACGGCTTTTTGGTCCGCATTCCTGGCTTGAAAGGTTGCTTGTGGGCAAGCCGGTCTTGCCACCGTACGCCTGAACAACCGGCAGCTTTCAGGACCTCTGAGCTTGCTGCTGCATGTGTTACGGCTGTTACGGATGCAATCGTTCAGCTGCTTGCAGAGGCTCGGGGCACGTAGTATGCGTCGTCATTGGCTCTAGGCGTTCTACGTTCTAAATGCTGTATCATTGTAAACGTAATTCGCGATCCCATGGTGTCAGCTTCTCCCTGTGAAAGGTGCCTGTCGCAGCTCAGAGAACCTCGCTTCGAGGCTATTGAAACGATCGACATGACCTCGACTTTGAGGTCGTCTGAATCAAACAAATCAGTATAGGGGTGACCGTGGGCCATCCAGAGCCCGAAATCCCGGGCATCCCATTTTCGCCGGGCTGTCGCAGGCACCGCACCCTATCCGCCCCTCCAGAAAGCCAGCCACAGGGCACAGCGTGTCAGCTACGTCTGCAGACCTCGTAAGTGGCCGTTTACCGACAGGGCCAGCAGCAGCCTGCGATCCCGAGCGGCCCCTTCTTCGAAGGGCCCCAGAGTCTTTTTCCACTGGACCTCGCAGCAGCCTGCGATCCCGAGCGGCCCCTTCTTCGAAGGGCCCCAGAGTCTTTTTCCACTGGACCTCGCTTTGAGGGCAGTCTGCGGAGAAAAACACGGCTGCCTCAGTCGTCCGCCCTTTCCCGCCCGCACGTGGCCATGCAAATCAAGGATGGCGATCTGCACATTCCTTGCCAGGTAGGCAAGCCGAACAATGCGCGATGAGCAGGTGCGGGCGCCGCGGCCGTCAGCTTTGTCCCTTTCGCTTCTGAACTGCAGCTGCATCCAGACACACCGGCCTCGCTATTGCGGTCTCATTGGGAATAAGACGTGGGGATTAGCGTCTGTCGGTCTGTGTGCGTCTTGCTAGATGTTGGGTTTCAAGCTAGCTTGCGGCAGCTTGCAGTTTGAGGGATGTTGTTGCGCCTGCTCCACGAGCATTGCCATGCCCTCGTGAGATGTGCTAAAACTCGAGACGGAATGAGACGGAGGACGGCCACAACTTCTGCATATAGCCATCCTGAGCCCAGACTTCGGGCATCCCATTTCGGCAGAGGCCGTCGACTTCGTGAGAGCTCGCATTCGGTAGTGCATGTCATTGCACGTTCCTGTGGCAGGTGCTTCATTTCGCGCGCACACACACACACACACAGTTCACATTAAGAGGAAGACTTGTTATTCACCACGTCGGTGTGCTTCTCGGCATTGCTGGGTTTCAGGTCCAAGCCGGCTTCTGAGACTGTTGCATCGAAGAGCCCGGGCGGACATGCAACGCCCGCAGCTCGTTGGGACTGCGAAGAAGGAGCTGACGACGACGACGGCTGTGGCAGGATGTCGTAGGCACCCCTGAGAATTCTCGGGCCGCCTGCGTGACAGCGCTCGCTTCGAGGCAGCTCGGTCACGATGTGTTGTGAGAAGCACGTTTGCAGAGCTTGTCCTTGTGCGAGACTCGGCTCCTCAAGGATTCCAAGCAGAGTCCCACAACGGTCGGCTTGGTCTTGGCCTTGGAGCTTGCGACGCTTGCTGCCGCTTGTGTCCAGCCTGACAGGAGGCTGGCGATGTCGTGTTGTTCGCCTTCGGGGTGAAGGCACTTCCTGCTTTGCGGGCGACTCCCTAAGGCTAGCAGCTAGCATGGGCTAGCATCCTTGGTGTCACGATCGACGTGTCCAGCACCTCAAGGTGCAGGCTGATGCAGGCTGCGCGTCGTGTCTCCATGCGCCGTGCTGCCCCATGCTCCAGGGGACGTCTTTTTGCAGAGGTTCGCGGCGTCACTGCAAAGTGTCTTGAAAGCATTGCCCAAGTTCACTGGGCCAGCTTCTGCTTGCTACAGGTACATCTTGTTCTGCGAGGCGCCGAGGCATCTTCTTGACATTTTTGAGCAATTGTGCCCTTGAGCGGCTCGGCAAGGCAGGCTGTGATGTTTTGGCGAGCAGCCTGGCCGTGAAGGCCGCGGCTGCTGGCACTTGCACCACTTGGAAAGCCACATTCTAGGAATCCTGTTCTTGACCTCGAGTATTTGGGCCCAGAAGCATCCACCAGCTGCGATAGATTCCGACAGCGACAATAATGTCCTCCCCTCTGGCTGACGCTGGTCTTGCGTTGGTCGGGTATCTCGTTGCCAGCAGCGAGAGGGAAACGCAGGTCCTGAATGCTGCAAGGGAGGTGGTGAGCGTCATGAATGGGGATCGCAAGACTCTGGCAGAGAAGATTCGCACAGTCGCGACGAAGCTTGGAGGCCGGAATGTGCCTACAGGGTCGGGCAAGTGCTCTGAAAGAGACGCTGCTGCCTTCGCGAGGTCTCTGTGTGAAGCTGGTGCAGCAGACAGCGCGACCTGAGATCATGACATGCCCGATCATCCTCGAGGAGAGCAAGAAGTGCCAAGATGAATGCAAGGCCTGTTGCTTCTGCCGTCTGAACTCTGTCGATGCTTTGCGAGTCTTGTTGTTGCACGAAGCTGCGGCGGACAGTGCAGGCTCGACCCTTGGAGAACATCCAAGCCCAGCTCCGTGCCGAAGGCTTCGGGGACGCCATCATCGAGGGAGTGCTGAAGGCCGGCACGACTGCCGAGGCAAGCAAGGCGCGTCGGCACCGGCAGACAGTTTTGCGGAGGGCGTGCCTGAGCATCTGGCTTTTGCCAGTCAGTGTTTGCTTAGTCTTGCACTGAAGGTGCGAGTTGGCGAGAAAGTCTTTCTGGTGAAGACCGTGAATGTGGAGAACCTGAGGCTGTACTTGGCCGACCTGCAGATGCTTGGGGACGAAGGAAGTGTCCTGGGCTTCTTCAAGAAGATCATGATCCTGATCGGCCAGGGAGAGATCCTTGAGAAAGTCCTTGAGTCGCTAAGGTCGGAGGAGTTTAAGGAGTTCGTCCTCGGAGAGTTCGATATGAAATCGGAAGCCAAGACCATGGAGCGCTTCCGGGCGACATATCGGCGCCGCGGCGACGAGCGCCCTCGCTGCAGTTTCCGACTTGCAGAGATTGCAGCTTGATCTTTCATCCCCCGACGGCTGTGTGGCTCTTGTTGCCAGGCTCCGGGTGCCCCGGGTGATTCGCTCCTCGCCGCACGTCCTTCTGGAGGAGTTTGTCCAGGGCGAGACCCTCGGCAAGTGGCTTAAAAGCGCCCGCGAAGATCAGGTCAAGGCCGAGACTCCCCGGATCTTCCGCGTGTTGGTGCGTAGTTTCTTCATCGACCTGACGAAAGAGGGCGAGGCGCACGGCGATCCCCATCCCGGCAACGTGATGATCACCGAGTGCTGCGACATCACCATGATCGACTTGGGCTGCCACATCGAGGTTCCGGACGCCAAGAAGGAGCGTTTGCGGTCCTTGTTGCAGTTCACGGGTACGCCCGGAATGGACGAGTCCCAGCTCCAATTGCTGAAGAGCAATCTCCAAGACTTGGGTGCTGAGCAGCGTTCGGGCGCCGAGCTGTCCGGCATGCTCCCATGGCAGTGCGTGGCCAAGTCCTTCGACCTCCAAGAGGCATGCAACGGCTTGAACCTGAAGGAGAACTTCGACCAGACCGTCGGAATCAAGCTGTCAGGTTGGCTGCTGCGCTTGCAGAAGGCCTTCGGTGCTCTGGCAATCTCGCTCCAGGAGCTAAGGGGTCCTAACATGTCCTTATAGACTTATAGATCTGTGGTTACGGCCTTCTGTGGTTTCTCACCCCTACTCATGAGGAGCTATGCAATGCCATTCCGGACATGGAGGTCCAGCCGATCTTTGCAGACATCCTGGCCGAGCTGAGCTCGCCACAGCAGAGGCCATGAGCAGGGGCATGCGTAGGCCATCCGGGCATCCCATTTTCGCCGGGCTGTCGCAGGCACCGCACCCTATCCGCCCCTCCAGAAAGCCAGCCACAGGGCACAGCGTGTCAGCTACGTCTGCAGACCTCGTAAGTGGCCGTTTACCGACAGGGCCAGCAGCAGCCTGCGATCCCGAGCGGCCCCTTCTTCGAAGGGCCCCAGAGTCTTTTTCCACTGGACCTCGCAGCAGCCTGCGATCCCGAGCGGCCCCTTCTTCGAAGGGCCCCAGAGTCTTTTTCCACTGGACCTCGCTTTGAGGGCAGTCTGCGGAGAAAAACACGGCTGCCTCAGTCGTCCGCCCTTTCCCGCCCGCACGTGGCCATGCAAATCAAGGACGGCGATCTGCACATTCCTTGCCAGGTAGGCAAGCCGAACAATGCGCGATGAGCAGGTGCGGGCGCCTCGGCCGTCGGCTTTGTCCCTTTCGCCTCCGAACTCTGAGCTTGAGGGGGCCCTGAAACGGACTCCCTCGAAAGCAGGCGGCTTGCAGAGTTGCATGCGGCCTGCGGATCTCGCAGTTGCGTCTACACACACACTGGACTCGTGGTTGCGTTTTCATTGGGAAGCTTCTCGGTGGAGCCTGTTGGGTGTCATTTCACTGAGACTGCTTGAATGCATCCAGCTTTCTAAGGATTTGCAGTGCAGGACATCGCCCTGGTGGATAGATGAGCTTCTTCCTTTACCAGAGCTGGAGACTGCGGACGTACAGAGCCACAGCTTTGGCAGATTCGTGATGAGCCACAAGGCCTGTTGCTTGAATTGTTGAACTGGGATTATCTGGGGCACGGACTCACGCATATCTACAGCTGGCCGCCTCGAAGCAGGATGCGGATGTCGACCCTTGATGGCTCAAATTGTGGAGGCGTTTTTGCAGCACTTGCGGCTTGCTGCAAAAATCGCTCCAGTGCGGATCCGATCATGCTTGCAGTGATCCATCTTTTGACATGTGGGTGCACTGCTTCGGGGTGCCGCTAAATTCGCTTTCTTTAACTTGTCTCTGCGTGAGCAGCGCCAGCTTTGCAGAGGCAGTGCGCAGCCAGCCTCTTTGCAGACGGCAGGGAGCACGTCACTGCTGTCAAGGCTCCAGACCGCAAATTCGAAGACAGCTGCAACGACTGCTGACCACTCCTGACATTCGGTAATGTGCCGAGGAGCTGGTAATCAAGGCCTGTAGCATTTCATGCAAGTTTTCTTTTTGCTTCGAGTCGCTTCATCAAGCTACAGCTGTGTCTTCTTGCGGTAGAAGCTCGTCAAGGGGCCAGCTCCCACCGTGTCGCGGTTTAGAAGCAGGGTGCTCATGATGCTGTTCGGGGCATCCTCGGAAGAGGAGAGAATCGATTCTCCCATCCCTTGCATCGGCGCAGGCAGGGCCATCTGCAAGGAGGCTTCTTCAAAGCTTCATGGGTACGCCCTCCCCTCAGACACTGCTTCGCTTGCGTTCCTTCATGTTGCAGATGTCTATGGCGCGGCGTTGCCTCTCGCTTCACAATGTCGGAAGTGAACATGAAACAGATGAAACACATTCAACATGGTGGGCCGTGAGGGCGTTTCTTGCCTTTCATTCTTTGCCGCAGGCTAGGATCGCAATAGGATCTGCTAGAAGCCCGAGCTGGAAGCCATGCCGATGCTGTGCCGTGCCTTCTTGGGTGCGCGTGATGAGCATGCCTCAAAGACTGTGCCCGCAGTTCTCGTGCGCCTCGGGCCGGTGGTGGGAGAAGGCCTGGACAGCAGAGTCCGCCGCCTCGAGGGCTATTTCTACGGCCGCCGTGGTGTCGTGAAAGTACAGAGGAAGCATGGGTCAGGAAAGGCGGAGGAGAAAGCCATGCGCCGAATGGTAGATGATGTGACCCTGCTTTGCAGCCTCCAGCATCCAAACATCATGAGCGTTGTGCCTCTGACCTTGGCGACTGGATCAGGAGACCCGCGCCCTGGGTATTTCATGGAGGAAGGCGTGTCTGCATCTGCCTTTGCGGACCGTCTGGCAGAGACGCTTGGTACAGCCGAAGCTTCCACATCAGCAAAACTGGGCCTGCGGATCCTTGAGCTGCTCGTGCCCGCCCTGGCCTACTTGAAGCAAAGAAAAGTTGTCCATGCTGACGTCAAGCCTGGTAACATGATCGTGTTCCCGGACCGCACTTCCCAACAGTGGTGGTTGCCAGCAAGGCGCTGGTCGCCAGAAGCGTGCAGCGTGCAGCTCACCGACTTCGGCATGGCAGGCAAGTTTGGAGCTTGGTCTGACAAAGGAGGTACGCCAGAGTATCAATATCCGATGTTCCAGCATTCGTTCCACAGGCCAGTCTTGCTTGACTTCGAGTTTGACACGTGGGCGCTTGGTATTAGCGCAATCGAGCTTTGTGGCGAAGAGCTCGAGAAGGAGCGTGCCGAGGTATTGCGATGGCTCCTGGTTAAACTCTGCAGTGCCCCGTTGATCGAGCAGGTGATTTGGAGGGAGGTCTTTCTTCCCGGCTTTGACAAGCTGCCCGAGTCTTCCTGCATGCGGCTCGTGGCGTCGATGATGGCGACGGACCGGACGGATCTCCAGAAGTATGGCTCCTTGCTCAGGGCTCTTCGTGGCCTGGATCGGCCCATTCTAGGTTGGCTTTTGGCTGAGGTCGAGACTGTTGAGTTCTTGGTCTTGGTTGAGGAGCACAGGCTTGAGATACCGCTGAGCTGCAGGATGCTGCTCACGCCTATCGAGGAACGACTGACGTTCCTACTAGACACCTGGTGTTCAGGCACTGGAGTCTTCATACACGAAGGCAGAACGTATTCGCACCACAACCTGCATGAGCTGCTGCAGGTCGCAGAGGGAAAGGTGTCCGTTGCGTTGACGTTGTGGCATGGGGGCACAGATGCCAAGCTTATCTCCGCACGGGGGCAGGGGCGCCAGAGATTTCGGAGTGAGTCTTCCAGGTTCCCATGGAGAAGAAGAGTTCGCTGTGCCCGGCCGCAGCCGAGCCGTGGCGCGCAGGCGGAGTGGACGTCAAGAAGTCAAGGACAAAGCGTGCAACCTTTCAGACTCAGACATCATGCCGCTGCCGCTGCATGAGAGATTCAGCTCGCGGCGGCGCCGTGCGCTTGGGTTGGAACAATCCTTTGACGTGCGTATGCCTGTGTGGGTTTTCCCAGATGCACGGGGCCCCCAGGGACTTCAGCCTATCGCGTCGATGCGAGATGTCACGCAGGAGTTGTGCCATGCAGCGAGTCCAAGGTTTCAGGGAACCACCTTGCAGGGCTTCCCATCCAGCCCAACGTTGCCCTTTCCTGTGCGACCTGACTCGCACGAGGAGGTTACAAACAGCCATGTGCCTTGCCTCCTCCCTTCAAGCCTGCCGCCCCCGATGGAGCCGCACATCAGCAGCGCAGCAAGTGAGCCTGCAGGAAGCGAATCGCTTGGAGCACTCACGGTGCATCTCCACTTCCGGGAAATTGGAACCTTCCGAAGCTCCTTCAGCGTGCGATCTTTGAGCTGGGAGAGCCTGGACTGTTGGATCCAGGCCATGGCCAGCGAATGCAACTGGAGCAACTTCTCCTTGACGTTCGTGAAATCCGAGCCGGAAGGGCACGTGCCGATTCCGGCAGGCGTCACTTTTGACGAAGGCTGCATGCGGACATTGCTCTTTGCAGGATCGCAGCCGCAGCTGTGGCGTATCCAAGCCGAGCCAGCGAAGCTGGGATGTTTCGGTTGTCGAGATTGATCGGTCATCATGCCTCCTCAGCATCTTCTTCTTCTCTGGAGTCAAATCGCCAGCTCTCCAAGTTGTCACAGGACAGTAGCTTCCTTCATTTCCTTCCCTCACTTTGAGGGAAGGGCGTGGACCTCACTTCGAGGCTAAGGGGCAGAGGCTAGAAAGCATGCCGTTGGTGAGTCGCGTGGGACGGTGCTGTGGCGGGGCAGCTAAAAAGGCGCAGTTGGGGCCTTTCAACAGCAGTTTGCATCCTGCCCGCGAGATGCACCAAGGCTTTGCACCTTTGAGGCTACATTCTGTAATGTGAAGACTTTTTTCGAAATCCGCGTTGGTACCCCGAGATCTTCGGCGTATGTCGATGCCCCGGGCAATTGAAGCCATAGTCGGCGTTTCCAAGCATTCACTGTTAGATTTAATGAGTTTGTCTGTGTGAGGAACATTCGGGAGAAGCATCAATGGCAGCGACGAGCTTTCCGGATCCTCAAAAAGTGCAGCCACCTGAGCTTCCAGTCACGCCAGCCTATAAGAACATGGTCATGCATTTCTATTGAAATTCAGAGTCACCTGCCTGTGGCCGTTTCAGAGAAAGAAGTATGTCGGGAGACTATCCCTTGCTCTTGCGTTGTCATGGGTGGCGTCTTATGTTGCGATGCCGCAGCCTCAGTCGCCCGCGCTTTTGCAGTTGCACTGTGCACAGCCCTGCAAAGCCCTGGCGCTCCTCGGCCAAGGAAGCAGGTTCTACTTCACAGCGGTCACAAAGACCGCAGTCTCCACAAAAGGGCCGTGCCAAGCCTTACACGAATCCACTGCCAACGACGCCAAGCGATCCCTGGAGATCGGGCCTCGTCGTGCATCAGTTTCAGCGGGGCCTGGGCCTGGGTCCCCTCAAGCTCATGTCCCGAGGCAGTGCTATGGCTGCAAAGAACATGCCACAAATTCCAAAGGCGCCTCTTGTCTGCCTGCAATGTGCTGTTGAAGCATGCGTGCCTGTCGTAGCACCCGGCACGCCGAAAACATGGTGCGTGCCATCTCCAACTAGATACTTGTAGCGGCCAGGATAATCCTAGAGAATTAAAACTCGGTTTTGGTTTCGTGCAGCTAATTCTTGGTTATCATTACCATTGACAGAAGAAGCACGAGGACAGACTGTGGCAAGAGCGACAAGTCTGGTCGTTTGCGTGACCTGTGACTGCGGCAGGTCAGTCGGTCGTGCTTCGTTTGCTACACCTGTGCGGCAACAGACAAGGCTGCGTTGCAAGAGTGACGGAAAGTTCAAAAGTTCGATTACTATCAGACAACAGGTGAACTCAGCCCTTTTTGGCTCAGAGCCTGACCTCTCCACGGATGTCCGGTTGGGTCTGGACTTGGCGCTGGGCTGCTGCTTTGGCTTCGGCCCTGTTGGGTGGAGCCACTCCGCGCTGTGGGTCTGCTCGCCTCGCAGATGGAAACTGCCTTTGGTTCCACTTTCACTCGTATTTCAGCCCAGCACTATATGCAGATGAGAGGAGCTCACAAAAGCAGTTGCTCAACGCCTTTCTTATTCATTACCTGAGGATGAGCATACCTGCATCGAATTTTCTGGGGCTGATACAAGTGAATCGGTACTACGGCAAGCGAGCTGGGAAACTCTTTGCAGACAGCCTGAGAAGGGACTTTGGCATCCACCATGTGCGGCTTGTGCTTACAGGCAGAAATACAAGCAACCGGGATCTGGAATTTCTAAGCTGGCTCATGCTTTCCGAGCATACCCAAGCTGAAGACTGGATTATAAAGGCAGATGTTGACGAATTCCATGTTTTTCCTCCGCACCGGGGAATTTTCCAAAACGACACCTTCGATGCCCATGCCTATTTCGATGCTCTGAACCAAGCAGGGAAAAACGTCGTGAACGGTTTCCTCATAGACAGGGTGGCACATAAGGCAGTTTTGTCGGAGGTCCGGCCAACCTACGCAACCGACAATATCATGAACCAGTTCCCTGTTATTTGTGGCGTGACACCGCTCTTCAGACTAACAGACCCGCGGAAAGTGGTGGCATACAAGGCCTACATCCGGGCGCCCAGCTCCCACCACTTTGCCTTTGGCATTGATCAGACTTTCTATCCCTGTGACATCACCGACTCCTGTTACGGAGGTCGTAGGCTACCGGTCTACGGAAGGCTCCCAGACCTGCAACCATGTCTTGTGAGCGCAACAAACTGGTACCACGTCCTGCGGAAGAAGCTGGGAAGGGAGGCTTTTGCGTTGATGCCCTTTAGGTGGGAGTTTCTGAAAATAAGGACCCAAATAAAGCACCCCAAATAGTAGAATCCTTATAATAAGTATCCCAAAATAACGTAGCCCGAATTTTTCGAAAACTCCCAGGTACCACGGGCATCTGCCCCTGCTAAACCCTCTGCGTTCCTGGGCCTCGGCCTTTCATTTGAAGTGGAACTCCGGGCTTTGGTCCTTGCAGAAGGAGGCCAGCTTCTTTGGTGGCCGTACGCTGCCCGAGCACTTCGGAGATGAGTTTAGAACCTTCGTCGGTAAGATGTGCTATCCTGCGGCGGTGAAGAAGGCATATGAGCCAATGTCAGACGAGGAGATGGGTAGATTGTTCAACTTTCCGGCCCCCGCAAATCCGGATGGGTGGTGGCACTTGCTCGCAAACATCCAGGTCAACACTTACTGCAACGGCTTGCATGGCATGGTGAACCTCAAAAACATCGCTGGTCCGCTTTAGCTGCACCGGCTCTTCGGGAGCATCTCCAGGCAGACTCCACGGACCTGCGCCAGCTTCCATTTGCAGCACGCCCTGATGGAACCGGCTGGTGTAAGACAGCTTCAGCAAAACTGCTGCTGGACGCTGTGGCGATCCCGCAGAGCCGCACTTCAGGCTTGGAAGCCACGAGCGACCACGGCAGTGGTCATTGGAAGAGCCTTGATAGTACCCGTATAGGTCTCTAGTCGTAACCTTCCTATAAAAAACTAAAGGTGTAGCCCAATCAAGTTCATTTAAAGCAACGGTCCTGCAGTGAATGTCGTCTAAATGTCTGAGTCGCAGCCGTGCGGAGGCCACAATGTTACTATAAGACTGCATGCAACAATGTTCGTATAAAGTTACTATATTGTCACGGGGCGGTAACTGGTTGGTGTAGAAGGTTACTCTAGGGATCTCTAGGGTAGCTGAAATTTCTGAAAGCTTTCTATTGGGTTACTGCCGGTTACTTGTACAAGGACAACAGTTGACAATACTATCATGGACTATATGGTGCTATAGGTGTATCTGTTTTTGCTAGGTGTTCAAGCTAAGGGAATCGGCGCTCGCGGAGCCTACCGGAGTGCCGCACGGCAAGAAGCACCTTACTGACAAAGCAGCTGCCTTCCAGAACTCGGGCCAGAACTTGGATTTCCAACGGGTTTTGTTTGGAGTGGTTGTCTTCTCAGGTAGCTGCCGGAAGTGCAGCCTTGCGACACGACATGGATGCACTCCAGAAAGAGAAGAGGCATCACGAGATGGTTTTGATACATCTTGATGCCAGGCATGACCACGGGCGTTCAGATAGCTGCCGGGAGCACGCTGAGACTTTCGCGGCGCGTGCGTGAGAAGATGCGTGTGCCAGAAGCTTGCTGTTGCCCTCTGCTGCGGAGCTTCTCTTGCTTCCGCAGACGCTTGCGCACTCTTCGTCAGGTGCGGAAAGGAACAGACCTGGAGGCTCCCGGCTTGGCTTGGGCTCCGCCCAAAACCGCTGCCTTTTGCCTTCTTTTTGGCCAGGCACAGCTGGGAGCGCCGCCTTCCCTGTCCAATGAGGCGTACAAGCGCAGCCCAATAAGACGTACCTGACGCTACTCCGGGCGTTTCATGGAAGAGACTTTGAATTCCGGTAAGATCATGTTTGTACGGCAGCAGAGGCGGCTTGTCTCACCCAAGCATCCTGATGAGTCAGCTCAGTTGTGCTCATGCTGGCAGTTTGATGCTAGCCGCTAGCCTGCCAAGAGCTAGTTGCCACCATCGCCGCCATTTAGTCGATTGTTGTGATTTCGCTTGAAGACTAGATGTACCGACAGTAGGATGCATGCGAAGACTCAGCTATGCTTTGCGCAAATTCCAGTCAAAAACGCTTCCCAAACAGTTTGCGGTGGCACTCGTGGATTTGAGGTCGTGGGTGAGTTGGCCGCATTTCAGCTTTACGTCATGTCTTTTCTTTTGAAAGGCTCAAGGTTTTTTCCTTGGAGTCTTGCAGATATCATGCAGATCAGCAGGTTGCCTTTGACACTCCAGCCACAACAGTAGTTTTGTCGGCATGTGCCGATTTCGCAGCACACTGGCACGGTGTCATCTTTTGTTGAAGCGCCGATTACTAGATGGGGCATGGAGCGAGTCTGTGCCTGGCCACGGGTGTGCCTTTCAAGGCGAGATGGTGAGCAAGGAGGCGCTCCTGCGACTCGGGGAGAGTAGCCTGCCTTGGGTTCTGCGGACGTGTGGCAGGAAATCGAAGACTGTCGAGAGAGGCCGAAGGATCTCTGCGGACCCTGAAACCCACTGGTACTCAGCTGCTCTGCAGGCTCAAAGAGTGCCGGTCTACCACCGGCCAGCAGGACAGCCGGGGTGCCCTACGCTGCCTCTTCACCTGTAAGGCTTTGCCGTAGAGTAGGGCGTTGCTCCCAACATTTGGGAATTGTAGCCCTAGATGTGGTTTCAGGACCCAAAGCGAATTCTCTCGATCTTCGAGGAGCTCTCTAAGAAGCCCATCTCTGTGGAGATCCTGCACACGACAGGCATCGGCAAGGCACGAAGCACCCGAAACCTTCGAGACCCTGACATACCCAGGGCCCCTTACATGCCTAGGACCCTACCCTCAGAAACATTTAGACCCTACATAGCTCTACAGAAACCCAAACGATCCAGCCCCACATCTGTTGTTGTTGAGCCGGGGCATTGAAGCACGAAGGAGGTGAACGACCGCTTCTTCAAGAACCATGCGGACCAAGAGGCCTACGGCTTTGAGTCTCGTTTCGAAAGGCTTCAGTGCATTTTGAGGGTTGCCTTTCTGAACGCTGTGATTCTATTGTGATGCGCGGTATGTTAAATCGTAGTTTTGTTTTGTACCTGATGTCAAGCTTTGCCAGATATGCTGTAATAACAGCATTGACGTGCTGCATATATATATATATATATATATACATATATATATATATATATATATATATATATGCATATACATTATATATATATATACACACACACATTACATACATATATGCACATACATTATGTATATGCACCTACACCTGTGGTAATATGTTTCTAGGTCTATGTATATCCTCACTTACACACAGGTGCACACACACACACACACTCACAGGTACATACATCTTCTTTCACGTGTACATCCATGTAGACATGAATCTGCATACGTATACTTGTATACACACATGCACCTGTGTGCATATCTATGTCTGTCTGTCTGCCTGGCTGTCGGTCTGTCTGTTAGTCTGTATGTCTGCATGTCTGTTTGTATGTATGTATGTACATATGTACGTAAGCATGTATGTATGTGTATGTGTACAATGTGTTTTTGCGTGTATGTGTATGTGTATTTGCATGTGTTTGTGTATGTGTATGTATATGTACATGTACAGTACATGTCTTGTCTTCGTGTGGAGATATCGAACGCACAGCTGCATAATGCAGGTGCGGGAGCACTGCACTGAGCTCGTTCGCAAATGGAAGGCCTGAGCTTACCTTTGCTGCCCTCCAGCGGAGAACAGCACAGTCAAGCAGAGTAGAGTATACAAGAGTATGAACAGTTGAGCAACCTAGTCCATGATGTTTGATGTAGGACAAAATAACAGTATCACGCGATAGCAGAACCGCAGAGTCCTAGAAGCTTCCAGTTGATGCTGCGTAGTTTGTGCTGAGCCCGTCCAGGACTTTGCCTTGGGTAAGTCTTCGACTCAGCACTTCTTTTTTTTAGGGGTGGGGGGGGAGGGGGGGGGCGGGGAGTAGGCCAATAGTAGGGACTGTAAGGAAATTTGTTTTATGTTATTACTCCTCTTCGCGTAAGACCATAAACTGCAGAGTACAACCGTTGGCGCATGGTAGCAACTTTTTGCTGTACTGTTGCTGTGACTTCGACTATGCTATACTACTCGTGTTCCATAATGTACCGCAATGTGCCGTGCTATGCTTTGCTATACTAATTCTAATACTATACTATGCTATAATAAATGGTGGGTACTAAAGTTTCGTCGCATCCGTTAGCAGCACTGAACGGAGTACGTGGAGTCCGGGCTGTGAGGAATACCCTAGCCTGGAGGAATTATCATCCGGGAATGGAATTATAGTACTATAACTATAATTGTTCCCGGCAGAGGACATTGTTCCCGGCGGAGGACTTCTGGAGGAGTCTACGGGGAAAAGGGGTCTTGGACACGTATGTTGTACGTCGACAACATAGAGTGCGACGAACTTTCGGACCGGCGCAGTAATACTGTAGTTGCCTGTACCATACTATTACCATACTTTTCTGTATTATGCCATACCACACTGCACTATTCGTTGGTCTGACTTCACAGAGAGGTCGGCGTCAGCAGCTCCTGCGGCCGCTGCAGCTCAGAAGAAGCCGGACTCGCCACCGCCGCGGAAGCTGGAGAAGCGGGCAGCCGAGCCGCCGGTGAAGGCCAAGAAGATCAAATTTTATATAGCATAAAAAAGAGTAGTATAGAGTAGTATAGAATAGTATAGTATAGAATGGCATATTATAGGATAGTATAATATTTGTGTAGTACCCTTGTACGATCTATTCTGTCTTCATCAGACTGTCATCTGCTAGGCTGCGAAGAGTCCGAAGAAAACGTTTGCGCCCCAGCCCGACAGACCTTACTGGAGGGCATTCGTCACATTCGGCTCGCGAAGTATTCCCTCAAGCCTCAATCCCAAACCCCGAAAGCTTCTCCCAAAACCCGAAGCTCTGCACTGAAACTTTAACCCCTAGACCGTCAACCCCTAATACCGAACACCTGAAACCTCCTCTAAGCCCTACGCTCTTTGTAGCTTCAACCTGAAGGCCTCAAGCGCCCTGCCCCAAACCTGAGGCTCTCAGTGCGTTTGCCTGAGGTTTGAGACTGGGCCCAACGAGGAGCTAGCCAAGCTCTTCGACGAGCTGTCCTCATTCGAGTTCAAGCCTGGTCCTCGGTTTGCGTTTAAGTTTATGTCTTTGCCGAGAGCATATGCACGGACAGATAAACAACGCTGCAAATGAATATGTACAATATGCGTATGCAATAGGCATACGACATGTTCTGCATGCGCATAAGTATGTGTCCAATCTTTTGTCTTTCTATCTGTCTGTCTGTCTGTCTGTCTGTCTGTCAGTCTGATCTACCTATGTACCTACTCACCTATGCTCTTATCATCCATCTATCCATCTACTTGTCTATCTACCTAACTATCTGTTTGTCTATCTATCTACCTATCTGCCGCCTACCCACCTACCTATTTCAAGTCACGTATGTCTTTTCGAGCCTCACAAACGCGTCAGTCTAGGTGGCGCAGGCACAGATGCGATGACCCGACTCCAACCGTTCTTCATGAATTTCCGTACATGGAAATCCACAATCACATAGATATTCGTATATACAAGGCACACACATACATACATACATACATACATACAATCGTTATATGCATACAAGTGTGAATGTAACAGATGCATGTGTACATTCACGGGTTGCGGATACGGGGCTGCATGTGGCGACGTGTGTCAACGGAATGATTCGCTTGACAGCCTGACCTTCTGTACAGGGAAAAACCGCAAGAAAGTGACGAACCGCGCCCACATCAACTCCGACTTCGCAGGGTAATCGTGTTGGAGTGTTCCGCGTCCGGATTCGGATCGAAGCTCATGGGTGAGCAAAAGTTCTGATCTGCGACGGGTTCGGTGCACGGTATACTTTCGAGGTACTGGACAGGTAACTTGTGCAAACCGCCGTCAGTCCCGCTGGACTACGTAACACATCTCTTGGTTTCAGTAGAGCTGCATCACATCTACGGCCTGAGACGCTTGCTTCATCAACGCATTGCGCGTGCAAACAGCGGACGCCCACCGCTAAACCCGATAAACCCGCTAAACCCGATAAACCCGATAAACCCGATAAACCCGCTAAGCCCGATAAACCCGATAAACCCGCTAAGCCCGATAAACCCGCTAAACCCGCTAAACCCGCTAAACCCGCTAAACCCGCTAAGCCCGATAAACCCGATAAACCCGCTAAACCCGATAAACCCGCTAAACCCGATATCAGGGGCGCCCCATCAACCCAAGGCCCGACCCTCGAAGTTCAAGATCTCTCAGGGTTTTGACTGAAGAATCAGGGGCACTCCATCAGTCCAAGGCCTTTGCCTCGGAGTTCAAGGATCTGTAAGGGTTCTGATTTAAAAAACAGGGGCGTCCAAGGCCCCACCCCCGGAGTTCAAGCTCACTAAGAGGCGGTGATCTGAAAATCATGCGCGCTCCATCAGTCCAGGGCCTCATCCTCGGAGTTCAACGTCAGTCAAAGATTGTCAAAGCTTGATTTAAGAATCAGGGGTGCCCCATCAGTCCAAAGCCCCACCCTCGGAGTTCAAGGATCTGTAAGGGTTTTGATTTAAGAATGAGGCGCGCCCCATCACCAAGCCCCCGCCCTCGGAGTTCAAGATCTGTCAGGGTTCTGACTTAAGAATCAGGGGCGCTCCATCAGTCCAGAGCCCGACCCTCGGAGTTCAAGATCTGTATAAGGGTTGTGATTTAGAAATCAGGCGCGCCCCATCAACCCAAGGCCCGACCCTCGGAGTTCAAGATCTGTAAGGCGCTCCATCAGTCCAGGCCCCACCATCGGAGTTCAAGATCTGTAAGGATTCTGATTTGAAAACCAGGGGGTCCAAGGCCCCATCCCCGGAGTTCAAGCTCAGTAAGAGTCCTCATCTGGGAATCATGGGCGCTCCATCAGTCCAAGGCCTCATCCTCGGAGTTCAAATATTTGATTTAAAAATCAGGGGTGCCCAATCAGTCCAAAGCCCCACCCTCGGAGTTCAAGGATCTGTAAACGTTCTGATTTAAAGCTGAGGGGCGCCCCGCCCCATCAGTTCAAGGCCCCGCCCTCGGAGTTCAAGATCTGTAAGGGTTGTGATTTAGAAATCAGGGGCGCCCCATCAACCCAAGGCCCGACCCTCGGAGTTCAAGATCTGTATAAGGGTTGTGATTTAGAAATCAGGCGCGCCCCATCAACCCAAGGCCCGACCCTCGGAGTTCAAGATCTGTAAGGGTTCTGATTTTTGAAATCAGGGGCGCTCCATCAGTCCAGGGCCCCACCATCGGAGTTCAAGATCTGTAAGAGTTCTGATTTGAAAACCAGGGCCCCGCCCCCGGAGTTCAAGCTCAGTAAGAGTCCTCATCTGAAAATCATGGGCGCTCCATCAGTCCAAGAATCAGGGGCGCTCCATCAGTTCAGGGCCCCACCCTCGGAGTTCAAGATCTGTAAGACTTCTGATTTAAAAAACCAGGGGCGTCCAAGGCCCCACCCCCGGAGTTCAAGCTCAGTAAGAGTACTGCTGATCTGAAAATCATGGGCGCTCCATCAGTCCAAGGCCTCAAGATTTGATTTAAAAATCAGGGGTGCCCCATCAGTCCAAAGCCCCACCCTCGGAGTTCAAGGATCTGTAAGGGTTCTGATATAAAAATCAGGGGCGCCCCATCACCAAGGCCCCACCCTCGGAGCTCAAAATCTGTCAGGGTCCTAACTTATGCCTCATCAGTCCAGGACCCCACCCTCGGAGTTCATGGATCTGTGAGGGTTCCGATTTAAAAAATCAGGGGCGCCCCATCACCAAGGCCCCACCCTCGGAGCTCAAGATCCGTCAGGGTTGTAACTTAAGAATCAGGGGCTTTCCATCAGTCCAAGGTCTTTGCCTCGGAGTTCAAGGATCTGTAAGGGTTCTGATTTAAAACTGAGGGGCGCCCCATCAGTCCAAGGCCCCACCCTCGAACTTCAAGATCTGTATAGGGTTGTGATTAATTAAGAAATCAGGGGTGGCCCGTCAGTCCAAAGCCTTAGCCTCGGAGTTCAAGATCTGCAGGGGTTGTGAATTCAACATCAGCGGCGCCCCATCAGTCCAAGACCCCACCCTCGGAATTCAAGATCTAAGAGTTCTGATTTAAAAACCAGGGGCGTCCAAGGCCCCACCCCAGCAGTTCAAGCTCAGTAACAAAGGACTTTGCCTGGCAATCGGTGTGTCGAATTGGCTCGGTGGGTGGACTTGGTTGCGGGTAAATAGTTACGATAGCAGTTAGGCTTTGAAGTGTCCAGTCCAGATGTTTTCAGATTCTATCGGTCGGTAGTCATACCTTTCAGAAGACTTTCAGAAGAACAAAGACACGATAACAAACCCGCAATAGTTCCGAAGTGCGCGCAAAATTCCGGTGCACACACAAGAGCACGTCAATTGAGTCGAGATTCGCCATTTTTTATCTCTATGACTGAAAGTTGACGACAAATCGGGACTGCGGGAACTGCTGCCAGCAATGAGCCACAAAAACCTGGTGCCACAGGCACTGCCCGGAAATCGCAGGCTGCAAAACCACGGTCGCAACCAGGCTGCGACAGGCACAGGGTAGTATTGCCTGTGTGCCAGGCTGTGGGCAGAATTCCAGCGCAATTCCAGCGCATTCGGCGCAATATGGCGCAATCGGCGCAATTCGGCGCAAACGGCGCAATTGGCGCAATTCGGCGCAAACGGCGCAATTCGGCGCAAACGATGCAATCGGCGCAATTCGGCGCAATTGGTGCTTTCCAGCGCATTCCAACGCATTCGGCGCATTCCAGCGCAATCGGCGCATTCCAGCGCATGGCCATCTGGGGCCACTGAGCCCGCACGCACTGTTTCAACGCCTTTTTTTTCAGGCGCTCATGCCTGCATTGGCTTTAAGCGCCCAGCGAACCACAGGAAAGGCGGCACCAGCAAGTTTGCCGGCGTCGCCTACAAAAGTGTCGGGGCTCCTGCAGCTTCTTGTGTGAGTTTTCACATTCCGACTTCCTGCCTTGTGAACCGGTGCTTGGCGAGGTGGCTGCTACTCTACGTGGGCTGCACGAGAAGGTGCCTCGAGTTTTCATGGTTGACTGCGGTTGCCATCAGAATCCGCAGGTCGACTCCGGAAAGTCGATCGCTCATCTGAAGGGTATCGGAAAGGTGCGAGCACCCCAAGCCCTCGTCATACTTTACTCTGGCATGATATGACATGATCGCTGCCAGGAATCTGTTAAGAAGATTGACCAGTACATTGAGACCGGCACCTCGATAGCAAATGGCCCTCCAAGAGCTTATGACGTGATGTACTACTTTGGCCACTCTTCAGTTCAGGTGTGTAGGTTGTCCTCCACTTCTAGTCGGTGCGAGGCAGCATTGAAAGACTGGAGAAGTACCGCAACGGAGAGGATTGATTCGACGAGAGCTGAAACACGGCCTGACCAAGAAGGGATGCCCTCAGCTTCTGCAGTCATCTGAGCTCTCCGAGCACGAACTCGGACCATTCGGGCGGACGCGGGCAAAAGTTGTGCCTTCAATGGATGCTGTATGTCTGTGCGGGCAGCCAAGGTTCCATTTGTGACACATCCTGGTGCGCAAGCTTCCCTTCAAGCGTAGACCTCTGAATGGCCACCCTAGGCCATCAGGGAAGCTCAGACATGGCCCTGCACTCCCTGACACCTTGCCACCCCGAAGCCCATCCTTCACGCCCTGATACCCCCACCGACTAAACTCGCAACTTCGGGGCCCGGAGGTGCAGCTACCCGCTTAAGTGTAAAGACTTGGAGGCCTGGGCCTCATTCCGTAAGGCGCCAATTGAAAGCTTATGGTCTGTTTTCAAAGACATAACTACCATGAAGCCAAGCCATCGAAGCTTGCTTCCATCATCTCAGTCATCGATTTCGTGCCATGGCGCCTGCGAGCCAAAGCGCTTCAGGCGACGCAACATGTTCAGACGATTGCCACAGACGCGCTCTCGAAGTGCCAGGCAGCTCTCCTGGCTCTGCTTTCGTGGACCCCTTAGCCGGCTCGGTGGGGGCAAGCGACCCATGGAAGCGTGGCTCCCACCCGAGGCGATCGACCATGTGCTGCAGCTGCAGCGGAGCCCCCGTCACCGCAGAGCCGGCCCGAGTCTCCGCCTGGCTCTCAAGAAGCGAGGCGGAGTCTCACGGGTCCGGGTCCATTAATGTTGCTGCTAGAATCAACTATTTGCAGGGACCTGCCAGACAGACCAATCACAACTATCCCACTTACATATGATGTTGGAAAGATGGTGGTCGCAGAGTAGACGTGACATTGTGGTTATTGGTATTCTTCTCGTTATTGTTATTATTGCCATTGTTATTCCCATCGTTACTACTATCAGTATTTCTACTAGAATAGTGAGTTGACGTGAGACTAGCCAAGGCCAGACCCCTTGGTCGACGCCTGGTGAACTGCCCAGCTTTCAGCGTCTGGGCGGGTTCGGGGTTGGGGGCGCAGATGGTTTGTGGGGTTACCCGAAACCCTACACGGCTCAGCACGACATGCTACCAGCAGGTGCGAGGTATATGAAAAATCCAAGCACCGCCAGACTGTGCCACTTTTGCAGGAAGCTTCAAGTGTTTGCTGAAACCAAGGTGCAATTGCCAGCAACGTCCTTCTAGTAGGCGCTACGTGGTTACAGTGTAGCAGTAACATACCCCTAAACCCTAAACCCTAAAGCCTAAATCCTAAATCCTAAGCCCTAGAGTCTCGGCCATTGTTATGAAGGCAACTCACAAGTAGAGCATCCTTTTTCTCACCGATGGGCGTGGGGCCTTCACGAGAATGGAAGGCCATGGTAGCGGCCGAATATTCCGACATTGCTCGGAGAATGGCCTGCAAAGATCAACACTGGAGCGTAAGCTGGAGAGTCATACCAGCCCGTCAAAACCAGTTGATCAAACTCTTGACAGAAAACCAACAGAGCATCGACAAGGCGATTCGGCAGAAAGTTGAGCTGCTCGTGCAGAATGTCGAAGTCAAGAGCGTAGTGGAGGAAATAATGAATATGTGTGGCACGAAGAGTGCAGAGTCCCGAAAGGCATTGACAAACGTGGTCTCTTTGGGGTTGGCAGCTGCTCCGAGCATTGCCTGCTGCACGTGCTGGGTGGTCCTCGAAGCTCTGTTTGGCCCGCACGGTGGTGAGCGGAGTGTCTTGGAGCAGGTGAACCAAGCACTTCAGTCCAGGGATTACCGCACATTCAAGGCTGACTTGGACTTTGCGAAGAATCAGATTCGCGAGGCTTGCTTGTTGGAACCTGATCGAAAGGCCAAGAAGGCCAGCGAGGTGGACACATTGCTGGACAAATTGTTCTGGCAGGTCAACGCTCTTCTGGATGAGACACAAAATATCAAGGAACTGGAACTGATGCACATGATCGCCCACTTGCGCTTGCACGCCATTATGCTCCAGGCAGGCCAAGGACGAGTTTTGGAGAATGCAGTCAAGACTTACAAAGCCACATTGTTGCAGAAGTCCCATATATACGGCCGCTACCGGCGGTGTTGTCTGACATGGGAAGTAATGACCGATGACCCAGACATTCCTGACTGCTTCCCTCCGGTAAGGGACCTAGTCGCAGGGACATCCCACGGCGTACCCTATCATCAATCACATTGGTACATGTACACGGAGGCTTGGGAATTCGAAATGGCAAAGCTATACAGGGATCAAGTCGACAAGACGATGGAAGAGACGAAAGGCCACTATGATACCTTCATGAGCATGGCTCTCGAATACCAAGACGAAACGGATGCCCGAAGATGCTCGTGCACACTCCTGTAGTGGCTGAGATGCACAGAGGTGGGCGCAAACTTCGCACAGCATGCCCATGCCCAATTCCAGAGTACCGAGATTACGTCTGTTTCACCGCCCCAGTTATCGAGGCAAGTGGCTGGCGCTCCCCGTAAAAGGATCCAACTGAGCGCTTGCACTTGAGAAGATCTGGGGTTCCATGCATTTTTAAAAGGACTTTTTGTGTTGGTGGGAGGACTTGCCAGCCTTTTTGGCAGTAGTGCGCGGCAAACCTTAACACCGATGCGGCTTGCAGCATAGCCCGCCGAAGCAAGCACCGTATTACTGTGTGCACTGATGGAGGCTGTCCTTCTTGCATCGGTATCATTTACCAGTGGTGATATGCAACGACACCTCCCTATTTGCGTCGAGAGAACGGAGTGGAAGCACGAGCCTTTCCACGGACAGTGAATTCCAAACATGTGGCGGTCTGACACTCAGGGTGAGGGTTCAACGGCTACTTAATTATTAGGATGCATAAATCCCAATACCATATATATACCCTTGACCACCAACACCGCGAACTGATGTGAATAGGGTCAAACCTGAGGGTGACAGACGTGACGTAGTGATGAGAAGTCCTTGTCATCTGATGCCGATGACTAGATGCACCAGCTGCCTGCTGTGCACTAGTTGTTTGTAGGGCCGGAGCTTATCTATAAGGTTTTTCCTTGGTCTTTGCTGTTGACATGCAGTTCGAGCGGCATCGGTGCGGAAAAAGGATCTCTGGCCGAGGTTGATTGTACATTCGGGCCACATGGCCACAGTGACAGATCTACTTGAAAGTTCGTTTTCTTTATGTACTAGGGTTGTGTGCCTTGTGTTTGATTCAAAGAACTGAAGGTCAGTCACAGGAATAAGGCATCGGGAGTCGGCCTGAGAGCATGGCGGTGAGAGAGGCTTAAGGCTCTGTAGTGATTGTTAGTTCGCATGTTAGCTTAGACTAGCTTTTGGGCTGTATGTCATAAGTGTCAGGACCTCTGGATCCGAAATGACTGTTTGTGCATGTTTGAGTGCAAGGAGCTGTGCACAGATGCACTCCTCGTTTGAAGGAACCGATCTTGTGGGAATAGGGATAATTGGGGAAGTTTGGGGAAGCAGGGTCGGGGCTTCGGACGCAAGTGCAGAGGGAAAAGGGCCCACAAAAAATTTTGCAAAACCCCAAAGCCAAGTCTTGAAGGCTAGGGTGTACATCCGGCTTGGATGGATTGGGGTGCCCTGCGGCTCGGGATCTTTGCCTGAGGTGCAAAGCTCCATTCGACCGCGCGGAGCCAGAACAGGGGGGCAGTTTGCGCAGGCTGCGGACGCACACACACACACACACATACATATATACATATATACATATATACATACATGCCTACATAGCTACATAGCTGCATAGCTACATAGCTACATACCGACATACCTACATACATACATCTATATATATATACATATATATATATATATACATATATATATATATATATATGTATGTGGTCAGGCGTCTGGCGTTCCCAGCCCTCCCCCCCCCCCCCCCCCCAAATGGTATGGTCTGCTAGGGTGGGGGGGGGCTGGCGTGTGCGGAAAGGGTCGAGGCCGTTGGAGCTGCCACTGGATGGTGGGATGGTGCTGGCGGCCAGGGCTCACACGGAAGCCCTTCGCAAGCAAGCCGTAAACCCTATAACGCAGCGCGTGCCCTTGTTTTCAGTAACCTTAAGTTGTACTTCAAAGCCTACACCCAACCCGAAACCCCACCTAACTACAGGTTCTAAGCCTAAAGCAGAACATACACCGCAAATCCTCCCCAAGCCCTTGTCGACTCGAAGCGTTATACCTTGTAATTGTAAACCCAGCACTCACAAGCTTAAGCTAAACCCTAAACCCCAAAACCCCACAACCACCCCGCAGGGGGAAGAGGGACCCCACACCCCACACCACAGGGGAGGGACAATCAATCGAACCAGGAGTTTCTGACGGAATAGTTTACAGAACACCTCAACCCAGACCCCCGTGAGGATCCAAAAAGTAGATCCGTAATGGGAGTTCCTCTTAGTAGTACAGGGCCCTCAAATTAGGGGATCTACTTTCTAGATCCTCCCGAGGGTCTGGGAAGAAGGGACCCATGATCTGGCTTTGGCCCCCCCAATCTCACAAGCAAGTTTCCCGGATCCTAGAAGTCAGAAGAACCCTCGTCCCGCAACCACCCTATATCCGGACCATTGACCTTTGGGGGGGAGCGGGGGGGGGGGGCCGCGGAGCGCGTGACCATATATATATATATATATATCTCTCTCTCTCTCTCTCTCTCTCTGTTTTCTTTTTTTTTCTCTCTCCTGCAATGCTTGTCTTCATTCACATGGCACCTAGCAGAGCAGAAGAGCATGATGAAGGATAGGCATTATGCGCTGGATGGACATAGAGGTTCCCTGTACTCGTAGCTGCAATGCGTATTCGTAGAGGGTTCCTACCGAGCGCCTCGGTGCCGTGCCGTTGCAAACAGAGCGGTTCCGAAACCCTCACGAGGACTATGGAGCATCTTCCGACAAGATCTCGGTATCAGAGCTGTCCGCTCCCCAACAGAGCACTCTGCCAGTTCTGAACATGTACCGAACATTTTTGAACCCTAAGCCCCGAATGATTGAAACTCAATTATCCCCTGAACCCTTGAAGGGGCATTCTGTTTTTCTGGACACGAAGCTCTATGTTTTGCTGCTCCTTGCGACTGAGGCTGAACCGGCCTGGCCTTTCAGCAAAGCCTCGGGCTTTGTGAGGAATGTGATGAAACATCGCGATTAGTGTTGATTATTGCTTCGAGTCGTATGAGCTGTTGTCAGAACTGTCGGTTCTAAATAGCGGGTGCTTGTTTGGTTGCACGTGAGATGGATGATCAATGACCAAGAGAATCTGTCTCGTTTTATTGGGCCTGGGGGCTTGTCACTTGGTCGCCGGAAGGGCGAGTTCCCGGGCTTCGGATGTTGTGGTCGGGCCATGTTTCTTGTCGCCCGTGCTGAGGGATTGGTCGTTGACAACCAAGTAAGTGCTCGGTGAACGCTCAGTCGCCGGATCACATAATTTTCAGTTCTTCAGTGAGAGTTCTGAACATGGCACCCCTCGCTGTCCACAGTGGCTCGAGTGGCTGTGAGCTTCTACCATCCTTTCTGCTTTTTGTGGTCCCAAGATTGATCATGTTTCGGACGGACTGCAAGCTTGAACGCACCAAGGGACTGCATGGCCGCGCTTAGCCAATTCGGTCATGACCTCGGAAGCGGAGCAATGCTGCACGCTTCGTTGAAGCACTCCATTACAAAGTGTTTGCAGGCTGGCTGCAGCAGTGGCAGCATGCACTCGACCTGTTGGGACCTTTGCAGATCCGTGTCTTTGTGTCAGCACGCTATGTGGGTCAACGCTGCTTGGGTTCAGATGCTCATGCTGGAGGTTGGGACAGATGAGCTCTAGACGCAGAGACCTTACTGCTCCTGGCAGTGTAGCAGGCCTGTAAAGTTCAGGCACGGTTATTAGCTGTTGGAAGTTAGATGGTCAGCATGAGCACTGCAGCCGCATGTGTGGTTCCAGTCCTGCTTGCGGCTTGCTTCGCAGATTCTGCGTGTCGTGATGGATGCAGTCTGCATGAGGTCCCATGCCAGAGAATGAGGGGGAAAGAGCGGAGTCTAAGCTCCGGTAAGTAGGCCACAAATGCTTGCAGTGCCACAGCAGTCGGTATTGGAGGGAAATGAAGACAAGTGTCGTGCCTGCTGCGGGAACTCTCAAGATAAACAACATACTATGTCCCTTGCCACAATCTCTCAGTCTGAGACTTTGCTGGTGTGAAGGACGCCTTGGGCATTGCAGGTAGATGTCACCAAAGCATCAAAGCGATCCTGCGACGGAAGCTGTTTCACCTTCATGTCACACCACGTCAACCGAAGGATATGCTGTGTAGCCGTAGCGCCCTGCAGCCGTAGCAACAAGGTGTGCAAGCAGATGAGTTCTTCTTCAACAAGCTCATCAGCATATGCTCGGCACGCCAGGAGAACGCTGCAACTTATTGTCGGGTGCGCTCGCAGATGACAGAGTGCCGATTTCGTCCGAGAGAGCGCGACATCTGTTTCAGGAGGGGAGGCCGGGGAGGCCGGAGAGGCCGGACTCCGAGCTCAAATGTCTCTTTTGCGGAGTGTCTTGTTGCTCTGGCACTTAGGATATGTCTGCAGCTGCTGGAAGACATGGAGCGAGCTCGTATAGTCCCAGATGTGCGGGCGTGCCGTGTGCCTACACTCCTTCCTTCGATGATACGCATGCTTCGCATGCTTCGCATGCTTCGCATGCTTCGCGGCGGAAGTTATGATGCGCAAGAGGCAACGCTGCGGTCGCGAGCCTGAGCAAAGGATCATGGCAGGAGGCCGACGCGTCGTCGACTCGACATCCAGTCGCTGTCTGCTCTTCGCCTGGTTTGTCAGGCGCTGCATGTGCTCGACAGCATGAGATCGAGGGGCACACGTCCCGACGTTGTCTGACCCTCGATGTCAAATCGAGCTCAAGAGTTGGAGCGGTGCGGTCTTGCACACGAGGTCTCCTTCAACACCACGATCTCTGTCTGTGCATCCAGCAAGAAGTGGGCCGAGGCCACGAAAGACATGGCAGAAGTTCCCTCCTTGGATTTCGTCAAAGCTCAGACCGCAGGCATTGCAGCTTCTCGAAGAGGGACGGCAAGTTCCTTAGCTCGTGCTGCGATGGTAGTCGGAGACCAGACAGCAACGAATGCCCTGTGACGTGTGCAAGGGAGCTGCCCTCGGGTGCGGATCCGACAACGTACGGCGCAACGATCAACGCTTGCGAGGAACGGAAGTTCTGGCCACGGGCCACGGCCGCATGAGAACTCTGCACACAGCCCGGTGCGTGTGTGCGTGTCTGTGTGCGGCTGCCACGGCCGCAGGAGCACTGGGAGCTGGCTTTGCACCTTTTGAATGAGATGTCTGCCAGAAAGCTGGAGCTCAATGAGGCACCCATGCGTCGAATAACGCTGAGAAGCTGTTTCATAGTTTTGCATGAATTTGGTCTTCAGATTCTGTCCGAGGTGATCTCCGCCTCGACCATCCGAGCATGTTCGAACGGGGACAACCCAGACCTTCGCCCGGGTTAGCATTCAGTCGCGCCGAGTTCTCGCGTTCTGCGTTTGGGCCGGAAAGCCCAGCTCCTCCCAGGAAGCCGCGATCGAGCTCCTGCGCACCCTCCAGCAGCAAGCAGTCAGGCTCGGCTTCCAGCACGATGCGCTTCACGGCGCAACACATCTTCCAGAGGCAAAACGTGCGAACCTACACGTGCGCCATGGCTGCGCGCGGGGCCCTGGACACTTTCGGATGCAGGCTTCCAGCTGTGGGGCGTGAGGCTGGGAGTGGTGGGAAAGACCGTAGGGTGTCGTCGATGCGTGTCGGGAGCTAAACAAGCCCTCGACAGCGTGCCATTGTTGGGCGATGTTCGGCCCCAGCAAGGAGTGGGGCAGACGCTACTCGGAAGTCGGCGAATGTTTATGCCTGTTGGGATGGGGGTCCTATTTCCGGGACACTGCCACTGGCCATTGCCAATTCTGTTGCTCCTGTTGGAAGCGGCTGCCACTACTGCTGTGACATTCACTATGACTACTGCCGCTGCTGGAAAAGAGGAATGATGATCAACCGTAACAGCTTTCAACCAGTCTTTCTAGGTGATTGTGATAAATCGTGTAGGTATGACAGCCGTTTACACATAAATAGTGGCAACACATGTATGACTATGAAAGTCTATGAAAGGTAGACTCATTTCAGGTGCCATCGCGACCAATTCTTGTGGCCTTGGTCATTGTGTCGGCCTGAGTTTGCCATCTTCACTATACCCTCAAACCTGGGTGCTCTGACTCCGCCAGCAGCTTCAGAGTGAAAGGGTGCGAGTGGAAACGAAGTAGCACCCAAGCTGCGACCGAGGTGGCTCCTCTCCGAGGTGAAGGAACAGGGACTGGAGATGGACATTGGGCTCTTCAATGCAGCAATGGGTGTGTGTGGTTCACTGAGATGTTCGCAGCCGTACCCGGTCGTGTTGAGCCCTGGCAGTGGCACTGCTGCAGGCCGCACTTCGCATGGCTTTGGCCACTTACGGTTCCGTCCTCAGCTCTTTGGCCAGCGGATCGCAGATAACTTCAGGGAAGAGTGGGTCCTGAAGGAAGCGGAATATGGGACAAGTTGAACAACTCTTCAAGGCTCGTGGCTCAGAGTGTTCAGGGCTTCTTTCGGGCTCGACAGCGCAAAGTCAGCCGCATGAAGGCAGTTCTGCCACCAATTAGCAGGATGTTCAATATCATCGCTTGAAGCCCGACGTCGTCACCTACAGCCATGTGATGGCAGCGGTTCGCGAGGCGGTCATGTGAATGTGTTGGCCGAATACTGACTACAAAACCCCAACTTCTGCCAGGCAGGTGAATGGGAACAGGCCCTGGAAGTCTTGGATGAAGCGTCCGCTGCTTGACAACTCCCGAGAAGCTCAGCGCCGAGATGTCAGAGTTTTGACTTCCAAGGCTTTCTTCCAATCTCCGGCAAGGGCCTTGACAGCCATAACTGCAGGTATAGTATGTGCATGTATGTGCAGTATGGACAGTATGTGCAGTTTGGTGGTATTATCTGAAATGTTTATGATAGTGTCTGATTGTATTGTATCCAAGAAGTTTGCCCCTACACCCTAAACCCTCAACCTACACCCTAAACCCTCAACCCTAAACCCTAAACCCCAAACCCTAAACCCTGAGCCAAGGATGGCAGGAGGGTGGCAACAGCAGCAACAGTTGCAGCAGCCGTGGTGTAGTGGTGGCGGTGGCAGTGGTGGTGGTGGAGGTGGTAGTAGCAGTAGTGGTGGTTACTAGTCGTGGCAGTGGTAGTAGTAGCAGCAGCAGCAACCGGAGCAGTAGTAGTAGTAGTAGTAGTAGTAGTAGTAGTAGTAGTAGTAGTAGTAGTAGTAGTAGTAGTAGTAGTAGTAGTAGTAGTAGTAGTCGTAGCCGCCACAAGTACTCAAGCGGCCGCGCTGAATGAGAGGTTTCGAACAGGCTTGGGGCGCAACTGCTGTGCTAGAGGTTCCAACCGGGCCCTTTTCTGAACAGTAAAGGTTTGTGCCTCCTTCTACGCCATGGTCCTCTCCCTTTTCTCACAGGAGCTGCTTTGAGCCGCCAGGTCCCAATTCCTGGGCCCAGACTCTGTTTAAAACATTGCAACACTGGGTAGGCGGTAGGGTTTCCACCTCCGCGCGGTGGAGGGAGTCATTAGGCTTCTGTCTCTTGACGAAAGTAGCGGATGGCGCAATTGCCAGTGCACTCACAAAACTTTGCATCTCTTCGTAAGAATTCGTTCAAGACAGCATGTAGAAGGACAGTCCGTAGTGACGGGCCCGTACCATACCGAGGGCAGGTTCTGACACCTACCCTGGTTGATCGTCTGGGGGTGCGCCCCCCACCCACTCGAAGAGAGCTTCAGTCACAGACTGCTGACTCCCCTGCATATGGCACAGCCTCCCGCAGGGCAGGAAGGTTGGAAAGATCCATTCGAGTTATTTCGTGGAACGCGGGCCACCTAGGCCAACAGCAATGGGGCGAACTCAAAACGTGGCTAGCAGCTGAAGCCTCTCATCACTGCGACGTCCTCATATTGCAGGAAACGCACTGGACTGAGACCAGTGAATTCAGCGTTTCTGGGTGGTACTGTATCTCCTCAGCCTCGGAGTCTACCAAACCCAACACCCGGCCTAAACAAGCAGCGAAGCGAAACACTCGGCAAGAACCGCGAGCTCCATCCACGACTCGCGCTGATGGAGTCATGATCCTATTCTCTCCCAAGTTCGTCCCCAAGAGCTTACGCTGGAAGGAGTGGAGCCCGGGTAGGGTCTTAGAAGCTCGTGCAGACATTGCAGGTACTCGGCTGGTTGTCGTCGCGGTGTACCAACACGCTTGGTCTTCTGCCAAGACCATCCAGTCCAATAAGGACGACCGTGCTAAGGTACTATCTGTCATGTCCAAGGTGATCAAGCAGGTGCCTAAGAGGGACTCCCTTATTGTAGCAGGCGATTTTAACACTTCCCTGCGTCCGAGCTCTCCATTGGTGGGAACGCACGTGAAGCCACCCACTGAGGACCGCCCTGACGAATCCAACTTGTTTAATCTGCTGCTAAGGCTGCGTTTGGTTGCCCTTAACACCTGGCAATGTGACCATATAGCTACCTTCTCACAAGGAGGAGTGGAGTCGCAAATTGACTTCATTCTAACCAAAGAATCTACGGCGGGAGGCAAAGCCAAACGGTCAGCCCCTTGGGTGGACTGTCCGTTGGGCAGCTGGAAGAAAGGAGGGCATTACCCACTCAAAGCTGACGTACCCCTCCAACACCACTGGCTGCTCCCATCCCACAAGCCCAGCACGCGCCGGTACGATTCACTAGCTCTACAGGCCTCAGTCAGAGAGGAGGACGATACGGCAAAGGCCCTGCACAGCTGGATCGCTTCCAGAATTGACACCTGCCAGGACCCCAAGGCATGGAATGCGTTGCTTTTGGAAGGTGCAGAACGCTTTTTCCCAAAAATTCCCAAACGAAGACCGATCCCGCTGGAATTGGAAACCCGTCGCATGTGGCGGGCCCGCACCCACGACAGGGTTGCGAACACCACTCCCTCAGCACAGCTGATCGAGTCACCTAAAGCAATGGCACAGCCTCCTAATCAGAACACGCCACGTCCGCCGGACACCGAAGCTGAGCTGGCGCAAGTGGCACACCGCCAGGCTGTGAAACAAGCAAAGAAAGATCGAATTGCGAGTTTCATATCGGAGGTGGACGCGAGTCTGGCTGAAGGTGACCAACATATCTCCTTTCAGACCCTCAAAAAGCTGCAGCCTTGGCAGCCTGCGCGCAGAGCTCAGCTAAAGGACAACACAGGACATTTGCTAGGTCCAGCGCAGGAGCTAGCAGCCCTCAGGGACTATGCCAATCAGGTATTTGCGGCCCACCCTCCGTTACGGACAATGCATGGAGCTTTCCCTGCTTTGGAGCCGCCCAAACTAGCAGCTCACATACATTCCATCAAGCCTAATAAAGCTGTTCCTGACGGAGCGGCACCTGCGGCTGTATGGAGACTGTGTAGCGACATCGTTGCACCGGTCCTCTCCAAACACGTAGCATCCAAGCAGGCCGAGGACAGTCTAGAATCCGACCTCGTAGACGCTGATCTCTGCTTAATTCCCAAGCCGGGCAAGCCCTCTGACAAACCAGCAAACTTGAGACCCTTGGGTATCCTTAGACCTGACGCTAAGGGACTGGCGGGAGCGGCCAGAGAAGCGCTTCAACCACTGACACTCTCGTTCCTCAAGCACATGCCACAGTTCGCTTATCTACCAGGTCGGGGGCTGTCAGACGCGCTAGAACGCGTGGTGCATCACTTGCGTGAGGCTCGATCCCTGTTAGAACAGGCCCACCCCACGAGACATGCCTTGCAACAAGGCACACAGGCCCCAGCCTTAGTCGGCGGCCTCACCTTTGCTCTTGACCTCAGCCAAGCGTTTGACACAGTCTCTCGCCAAGAGATCATCGACCTTCTTCAGAGAGAAGGGGCAGATCAGGACACAGTCCACCTCGTTCAGGCTCTACATGACGGGTCTCGTTATGTCCTTCACGCGCAGGGAGATTCCACCTCTGTTGAAACCACAGCAGGCATTAAACAAGGATGTAAGCTCGCCCCCACACTCTTCTCGTTCCTTACAGGTGACCTTTTCCGCTCTCTGGTTGACCTTTTCGGTGCTGAGCAGGTCTTGAAATTCCTGACAGGATATGCCGATGATCTCACACTCCATCGGACTATCCGCTCTGACAAGGACCTCAGGGCCATTCATGCGCTCATCGCAGCGCTACTTGAGGAGGTCCGCAAACACCGCCTACGAGTCAACATTAGCAAGTGCGTCATCTTGGTGAAGTTAGCGGGTAGAGAATCCCAAAACGTGATGAACAAACACGGCTGCTGGATCATAAACTCCAAGGGCGAGCAGGTTCGCGGATGGCGCATCGGGCCCAATAAATCGTTCCCCGCCTTCCAGTGGGTCTCCTGTAGCAAGTACCTGGGGGTTATGATCTCCTACAACCACTTCGAGCTGCAGTCCTTGCATTACCGCATAGGGGAAGCAAAGCAAAAGCTGCATCAAGTCCGCCAATTTGTCTACAATCGCCGGTATGCGAGCACCATGTCGAGACTCAAGGTTTGGCAAAGCACAGTCCTGAGCACACTGACGACAGGCCTCTCAGACGTCGGACTCAGCGAGGAGTCGGCAAAGCAGCTACGCAGTTGGCATGCTTACAAGGTGCGATCAGTGCTGAACTTGCCAGCACATACCAGCCGCATCACCACTAAGGATCTTTTCCAGCTTTATAGCATTCAGGACCCAGTTCAAGCGATGCAGGTCAAGCTCAGGAAGAGACTCCGCAAACTTGAGCGACGCGCAGCCAGAAGCCCAGATATCACAACCGAGCCTTCTGTTTTGCAAGTCATCCGGGACAAGCTGTATTTCCTATCACACCTCCCTGATGCAGCTGAACACCCTGTAGCCCTACATGCGTGCACACTCTGCGATGCCTCTTTCGAGACAGCAAACGGGCTACATTTACACAGGTCGCGAGTGCATCCAGCCAGCATTGACCGATTTGTGCCATCAAGCTTCGATCGACAACTCCACGCGGTGGATGGGATGCCGCAATGCGCCGCTTGCATGCGCAAATTTCATCAATGGAAAGGTCTTCGTGACCACTTGTTGTCAGGAGCATGCCCGGAACCCCAGAAGCTTCGAACTCTGAACGCGACTGACAAACACTCAAGTCATCCTGAGGTAAGGACCCTTTCTCAGCTGCGACAGGACATTGCCCAACTCCCACAACATCGAATAGCGGTGCTCTCAAAGACAGCGGAGGCCCGGGTCCTGATCCATCGGTGCCTCATGTGTGACTTCTGGACTTTCGATCACACTAAAGTCAAGTCACACTTCCGTCAGGCGCATCCTAAGGACTGGTCAAGGCTGCACAAGCGCGCAGTCTCTATTTGTCAGGGTTTCTCGCCTCACCTTGCCAAGGGACACCCGTGCTCATTCTGCGGTTACAAGGTCTACGATCGCAGACTGCACCCGGAGCAATGCCCTGTGCTTTATCAGGTTAGCACACAGTGGCTGCGAGGGCAACCGGAGGTGGAGGAAGCTGCTACTGCTCCCCCATCCAAGCCCCAAGAGAAGTCACTGGCCCACTTCTTTAAGTCACGGTCGAATGGCACAGCCTCCAATCAGTCGAGCACAGCTCGTCAACCCCCGACAGACAAGCAGGAGTCCATTTCGCAGTCCTCTGGACATGCGGCAATGCGACCCGAAGGAGTGCACAAGCGCGCTCTGACTAACACGTCAAACTCGTGTTACGCTAATGCCCTGTTCCAGGCTCTGCATCAGATCTCGAGCTTTGGTTATGATCTAGGTGCTCTCCAGTCCGTCCTGTCCCATCTAGGAGACGAGCGAGCCCCCAGATTACTGAACCTGT